AAATAAATGTATACACAGTAAATTCGGGCCACAGTGGGAGTTGCCAATTTGGTAATCCAGTAGAGTCTAATGTATATACTACAGTGTCACCATTTGTAGAAAGAAAAAATGATTAAAATCAATATTACAGTATGTACCAATATCAAGAACCATCAGTGGCAGTGAAGCTGACATTTCCGATTTGGCCACAGTATCAGAAAGAATCAGCGTCTTCACGTCAATTACACTTTGATTACAAAAACAAACATGCCCACAGGTCTAACAACACAAACAATGACTACTCCAGTTTGGGTGTGTCAGTGAGCCATGCCAATGAGGAAGTATAGCAGGGCCCTGGAACGAACACACCTACCTGGTTACAACTGTGTATTGACTCAAAAATGTCCACTGACAGAATTATCACACACCATTCAGATGAAATGACAATTTATTGATTAACTTTGCAAATTGTATACATCCGTTTAGGACTTGTGCGTTACCAATTCTTTGGGACCAAAACTAAACGGCAGACATATAAACCCATACGTACAATTGTCATGAAGAACACACAGGGTAAATCATGGCTCATCTACTCTCTTGACTCGTCAATAAAAAGCCAGAGTACTGAAAAGGACAAACTGTCACATCAAGTAGCTAGGTTGGTCTTAAGTGCTGTGGGGAAAAGTTTTTTTTCCTTCAGTTTTCCATGTTCTGGCAGACTGTTTACTGGGCGATGCCGATGACTCCACAGGCCAGACGTGCACCAGCATTGCCCGTCTTTAGACTCTCCTCATTGCCTCCTTTTCCCAGGTCATCGGCCTTCTCGTGGATCTAAAACATGGGATAGAAAGAACAATCACAGTTCATGACCTAAATAACGCAATTCCAGTCAGTAAGTTGCAATACCCGACAGGTTTTGTCACACAAGCACACACACGTCTGCAGCCTGTCTTATAAAGCTAAATGACCAAGTTGACTTACTTGTCTCACAAACTTTGCTCGCTGGAAGTGAAATGGAAAAGGACACTTTCTTACCACCATGGTTCTTCCAATAATGGATAACGGGCCTGTGAGAGTGAGCATCTTGTCCGTGATGTCGATCTTGGCAATGTTATCTCCTCCTGCAGTTACATTTCCCAGGTCTCCAACATGCCTATTTACAAAAAAAAAAACAAAAACAAAAAAACACAACACTTGCTTGAATTAAACCCAACTTATCTCACACACACAGAAATGTTCCTGTTGTCGTAAGTTAGTTACAGATAGCAACACTGACAATTTAACATACATACACACACCTTCCTAAAGGGCAGAACATTTTCCTTAAGCACAGGTTCAAGTAATAAGCCATTTGTAACAGCTACATATAATTTAAGTGTTCCAGAGGCAGGGTCCTGATGTTTGCACACTGTCAGTGGCACATCTGCATGATATGCAGCCATCATCAACACCATTACGTTCACCCGTGCTTTTCCTGCACAGATACTGATTTATTAAGCTCACCCTTATTAACACGTTGCAGTAATTATTCAAATTCAATGTTTTAACGACAATTGATAAAGATTTTATTCTGGTTGGGGACCCAATGATTCCTGTCTGTACCTTAACAATTGCTATCTAATAAAAATAAATACAAATTTAAAGCAAAACCTTTGCTCCCTTCCTAAGAGTAAAACCCACATACTTTATGTGCACTAACAAAGCAAATCAAAGTTAGTTCTGCCTCCTAACAAATGATCTGTGACTCAAAATGTATTAAACATGTTACCAAACTACACACAGACCACATGCAAAACTATGCAAATTTTGCTGAATCATTGCTGAACCAGAGTAAATGTGATTATCTTTTCAATCAAATATCATAACCTCCAGGAAAATACATGCCAGGTTATGCTATACAAATACAGGTCTTCCAATTAAACTCAGTTATTGATAAAACATGGAGCTTTACATAGAACCAGGATTTAAAAATATTTTTTAAAGTACCCTAATTTCTGATTTCTTAAAGCTAGTGATAAATCTGAGTCTATGGCTTCTGATAAAAGGTTAACCATATACACCAGCACCATGATTTGCTGAACATTATAATGGCTCATAAATACTCTCCCCCCAGACTGGACTCACCTCTCAGCATCAGCAGGACCTGCATGATTCTTGTTGTGGGGATTGAAGTGAGGACCTGCGCTGATGCATCCTGGCAAAGAGAAATAAAAATAAAATCAGTTACATTCATTTGCAATTCTTGCCATTTCAGAAACATGATTAACAATCATTGTCAGATGCTCACCGTTTGTATTGTCACCAAAAGCATGGACATGGAAACCATGCTCACCAGGAGTAAGTCCAATGATTTCTCCTGTCAGCTTCACAGGGGCTGAATCACTCTAGCAGATCAAGATGACACAAATTATCAGGAGAATACAAAGGACACAAAAGAGCTGTCAAAGCCAGGTGGCGGGAAGGAGAAACTAATGTAAAACAAGACACGGATCATTTCCACCTCATTTCCATTTCCCCCACAGGCTAAAATACAATTAAAATGCAGTCATCTTAATACATTTCCAGGTGTTTCCATGGCTGGAAAACTAGTCTTTAAATTTTCCAGGATGTGTGGTAACTCGGATGTTTGTTTGACCTTCTCTCCGGATCTCTGAATTAGGGTGTTCCTATAGCTTGTAAATATGTAAATAGTGTTTGAGCGTGTAACTATTTAAATAGTTTGTTTGAGCTTGTAAATTTTTTAATTGTTTGGCTTTTTTTTTTTTTAATTCAGATATAAGTGCAGGAATCAACTATTAAAGATTCAATGGCAGACCAAAGCAAACCAATGAAGTGATGCAAGTTACTGAAACTATTATTATCATGAAACTAAGACTAGGAAGGTTGAAAGTAGAATTTGGCACACTGAGGAAAAAAGGTAATGTTGAGGCCTTCATTAAACAAGCTGAAACACAGGACAAGACCTGTGTTCCTCTCTGTAAGGTGGATAAAGAGACTGTGGCTGTTGTGCAGCAGGCAGCTATGTGGTCCAGTGTGACCGTCTGCACTGCCTATCACAGAATGCTGACTTTACTCCTTTTGGCAAGATCTGACTGGCTGTATCAAAATAAGGGCCCCATCTGTATAAACTGACACCGGAACAATACTAGGGGGGGGTGCCATTTTGAAAGCCAAAAAAATAAAAAAAATACACATTTCTCCCTTTTGGTTTATGATGTTTTTTTCCTCTCTCAGAATGAGAACACAGGACAAGTGACAAAGCAGATATGTAGCACGATGAATAATATATGTCACAGGGTGTTTCAGTCCAGAACTACAGCATATAACGTTATAAAGATATAACTGTATGCACATGCATTTCCATCGAAATATGATCATGGATTTAATTGTTAGTTCAACCAACCTGCCGTTGTGTCTGGGTAGTCAAAAGCTAGATACATGTACTCTGACCCTCGTTGACACAGAGGATCCCAGTCCGCCTGCAGCTTATCAACAAGGCCAAATATTGGAGGTAAAGGCAACAAGAACGAGGGCAGTGACTCAGCAAAAAAAAAAAATCTAATTAGTGGGCTAGCATTTGCTCTTGTTATAAAAAAGGGCAGTGCAGCTTTCGCCTGGAACTATGTTGTTTTCAGGAAAACGACTACAAACATTAGTGCTTCCCTGACTTGGTGTTGTTCAGCTAACCACAACAGACTGACAATGTTCACGTCCAAACATTGGACTTATGCAACAGGCGTTTCCAATACACACGCTGTCGATCATTACCAAACTACAAGCCTTGAACGTACAAAGGTTATCGGTTTAATAACACGCCACTGTTTGTCTTTTTCCCCCTGATATATTAACTAAGTATTTACTACGGGTTCACACGAGTAGCCTAACGTTACTTTGAATGAAAAGTGTCCTGTTCCTGACTGCATGCGCACTTTGACGTTAACGTTAGTTGGATATTTTGCGACGTGCAGACTATCGGTAGTTTGCATTGAGTGAATACATATCCACAGCTCGGTAACCTATGGAAAATCAGCACGGCTTTGCTTCATGTGACCAACTTCGATGCATTTTCATTCAATAGTGAGATATAACTGGTTAGTGTAGTTAGCGAGCTAGCTAGGTTCCCTGAAAGCCAATCTAACGTAACTACTGGCTTGTGCGTGGACAACTTAGCTAACCAGCTTAGCATTTTAGCGCTAACGCACCCCTGAGGATGCATGTATAAAATATATCTCCGGGTAGTTTCCTACAAACACTGACTAGACATTTCTTCCTCTGAACGCCTTACCTCCTGCTCAAAGTGAACGACCCCGCTGGTCTCCCCAGCTCCTTTCAACACGCAGACAGCTTTCAGCACCATCTTTGCAGCAGTTTCAAAGGACGACCAAGTTTCTGTCGTTCGTGCTCTTGTTAGACAACCAACTTACGTCAGCAACTGATGGGCGGGCGTATGATACAGACAGCCAATCAGAGTAAAGTACAATCAAGAACACACATTGTGATTGGTCATTAAGCTCATTAAGCAGGTGGACGTATCTTCATCAACCAAAAAACCAAAAAGAAATGCTGAATAAAAAGTAACTAAGCCGGGGGACAAGACTGTCAATAGACCTCTTATAGTCATAAGTGAAGTAGCATGATTAAACTACATGGCTGGTCAGTACAGCAATAGTTCAAAGCTAATTTGAAGTCATGACTGGGCTTTTATATGAAGAGGAACATTTGAGGGGAAGAACTGTGTGGGCTGCAAAGTCTGCTGTCCTACTGGCTTTCTGTTGTTTCTACCTAAACTTCCTAATAATAAAAGACCTTACCTGTTTTACTCTTCACCGTAGATAGCGAAGGAAACAGCCTGTAAGCATTAGTTGAATAATTCCACAGTAAATAACAGGCGAGTGGCATTTAAACTGCCCATTGCATCAAATGTGTGCCACATCATTTTGAGTATCTACATCCTTCACCATCTGGCAAACAGTTTACAGCATGAGTTATGCACAGAATGTAATTTGAACACAGAAAAATCATTTGGTACAAAAATAGTTTATTAAAAACAATTTCCTATGGCTGAAATATTGAAGATTTTATGTCCATGTCTTTTGTATTTTTAACAAATCATAGAAACATCTGTCAACTTTCAAACCATCAGGAGTTAAAAAACGTTAAAGCAAAGGGCCTCTGTTATTCCTTCCAAGTCAATTGGTTTTCTCAGATAAACGAATCACAGATCATAAACAACAATTACCATTACACCTTTGAATCGTCAGTGATACAAGCATATTTACAGCAGTGTGTCCCAAGCAACACTCTTCATTTCATCACTTTAGTTCTGCCCGCGCTGTCTCTCTGTGTTAAAATCAAGATTGAAGAATCATTGAACAGTTGGGCTTGCAGAATCTGGGCTTCAAACATTAACAATGTTAACAACTCAGATAAAGTACGTCCTCAGTGAAACTTTGAAAGCTGAAATGATCAAAGACAAAAAAAAATTATTCAGCTATAGGGTTACATTTTGCATTTTCATGTGGCCAAAATGAATTAAAATCCCAAGTTTGACTGACGTACAAGAGGCAATTGAAAAAGCTCTTTTGTGTGGTCCAAGACATTCCTTCCATACACACAGCAAAAAGAAAATACCACCATTAGCATAAAACTTATCAAGTCTGCTTGCTAAACTGTGTTTATACAAAATGCTCAAAAATCCAAGCTGGCACTAAAATAAACCTGTTTTGAATATTTCTCTGTTGGATCTACAAAAGGTTCTATTTCATTTCTTTAACTGAAAAATAAAAATATACACATTTAGGCAACAGTGTGAAATTTAGACAGCAGAAAAAAAACTAAGTATACACATACTGGAATTTCCAATGGAATGTAATTCCACATAACTTTAATGATGTAGATGTTAAAGTTCTGAAAAATAGACGGAAACAAAGATGAAAATCCACTTTGCTAGTGAAAAACGTCTCGTCTTCTCAGCAGTTTTTGAACAGCTGTTGCTCATCTGGGTCAATTTCTTTGCAAATGAATATAATCCTCTATGTTTTTGCATACCAATATCTCCATCTAGATTGCTCAAACTTTTGAAACAAAACGAACTTATATAATATCGTCAAATCTCTTTATGTCCTAAATATTCCAAGGGACATATACCACAATACACCTGGGTGTTCCTTTTCTTTCGTTAACTGTTATGCATGTTATGTTGAAATGTCTTATATAAAATGCCTCTTGGCTCATCGTTTACAATGTCTGCTCAGCAAAACAAATTAAATTATGCCACTGGTAAAGTTTAGGTCCTTGGTTTTGAGCCCCTACAATGGTTTGAGTCAGTAACCAAGCAACATGATTATGATGCACACACAGAGAATTAACCAATTTCCATAACAGCTTTTCTATAAAGTGACAACTGATACAGTATGATCAAAGAATGTGAAGCATTCTTGATTTCCTAAAGAATATCAGAATGAGAGGACTTTTGTTATCAGTAAAATGTGACTATCAAGTTAGACTCTTGTGAGAACAAGCTCAGCTTCTAATCAGTCCTATGTCTCAGTATTAGTGGAATATATACTTTTTAAAACTGAAATAAAACCATGTATTGAGAGTGGATTTTTTTAAAGGACATCAGGTATTGGCCAGTAAATGTGAATGTCACAAATTCACAAGTTACTACACCAAGTGTCTGGTAGAATGAAGACAATGCTCATTTTTGTTTTGCCTGAAATAAAATATGGTTCAAAGTGTGAAACGTGAGGACATAATGAAAAGGAGAACTCAACAAATTGTGTGAGCGAGTACCAGGCCTAATTCTCATGGATATTTTAACTAATTTATAAATCACGTGCTCTTCTCCATTTAAACACATACAAGTAACTTGATTGGCTTTTAAGGCAACCATAGTCCTTTCAAAGCTGAGCCTTACTGGCTGTGATTGCAATGAGGATACAAAATTAAACACAAGATGAAATGAAAACAATAAAGAAAATTAAATTGCGCCTCTATTATTCAGTGTTTGACAAGAACTTTTGGCAAATTAGAAAATATATGTTTTAAAATCACCATATTTACCTTGTTGAGGAGTGCCTGCTATCACACAGATGAGGCCATGACGTAAAAATAAATTTGTGTCATAAAAATCATGTTTTTCCACCGACTGCAAACCAACTTGAGTAAAACATAAAAGAGCTAAGCTCCAATTAACCTCAGATGGACAGAGCTTAGTTTACATGCAAACACTCATTCATTCTTACAACGTACAGGAAGGAGAACAACCAGAGTTGATAGCCAACATTTAACTACAGCCATTTTTCCGAACTGATTTTCAAGTGGTAAGTGTTTAGACAAATGCAAAGCCAAATGTGACCACGAGCCATAAAGTCTTTAAAAAAAAAACATTTTTATGTGTGGAAGATGTTTGTTTTCAAGAAATGTGTTACTGCCCAGAAACTGTTAATTACCAACTGACAAACTGTGACTAGTTAGTTGTTCAGTTGAGGCTGGTTATCATAGTAAAAAACACCTTTTTTTTTTTTTTTTTTAACTTTCAGTGGTTCACAACAGTCTGTGGCTGCAGGAGTAGTGAGCCAGTCTACGATGCTGCTTCCTCTTTTGTTTCTGTGGGCTCACTTTGAGCTGAGGGTAAGGGCTCAGAGGGCTTTGGCTCTTCTGCAGCAGTAGTTACGTCTGGGGGAGGGTCTAAAAGTTCTGATTCTGCCTTCTTTTGAGAAGTTTCCATGCTTGGTTCTTTACTGGTTTCCGCGGAGACAACAGGAGTCAAACAAGGTTGCTCTGTACTGTTAGAGGTCTGAAATCTGTCCATGTTTTCCAGTTCGGCCAATCGATCATCTCTGTCCCACCGCGTGGTCCTCTCTCGCCGTTCTGACCGCCTTGGCCTGTCCCCTTCTTTTCCTTCAGTCCCCCTTCCTCTTTCTCGACTCCCACCTTCTCCCCTTCCTCTCTCACGCTCTCCTCGCTCTCCTCCCTCCCCCCGCCCTCGCTCCTTTTCCCCATCATCACCCCTCCCTCGTTCCCTGTCGCTATCCAGGCTGCTTCGCCTCTCCCTCCAGTCCCGTCTGTCTCTGTCCCGATCGCGGTCTCTGTCCCGATCTCTGTCTCGATCTCTTTCCCATCCTCCTCCCCGGTGATCACCACCGTCTTCCTGCCAGCCTGAAAGCCTGTCCCTGCCATCCATTCTATCACCACCTCCACCCCTCCCTCCATCACCAAATGGACGCCTTCCACCTCCAAAACCTCGGTCCCTCTCTCTATCCCTGTCTCGATCCCAGTCTCTGTCCCTCTCTGGCTCTCGGTCCCTGAATCCAGGCCTGTCTCCCCTGAATGGTCTGCCTTCCATTTCTTCTGGCGCTTCCAGGCCACGAGGACCCCCTGGTCTGATAAAAGGAGGGGGAGGACCTTGAGGAGGAGGGCCATGCCCATGTGGGGGAAAAGGAGCCCTCATATTGTGAGGAGGGAGAATCCCAAAGCCACCTTTAGGTGGAGCGGGGTCATGGTGTATTATTTGAGGGTGTGGCCCTCTGGGCATCATCTGTGGGGGCATGGGTGGCATGTTGGGATGAGGGGGTCGTGGCCCGTGGGGCGGAGGGAAACGCTGCATGTGTGGTGGTGGGGGAACTGGAGGACGCTGAAGTGGGATTATACCGGGTCGTGCGCCAAGCAGACCACCAGAAGGGGGTTGGAGGTTTCCTGGAGGACCACCTGGGAGAGTCCCTGGAGGTCCGACTACCTGGTTACCTGGAGGGACACAAACACAAAATACAGCTTTAATTATATTTCATTACTGTCCAAAAGCACCATAATATTCAATTTAGGACAGATCATACCATTTGAGAATCACAAACTAACAAATGTCTGGTACTGTATTTTCACTTGATAAATACAAATGAATCATAATAAAACTAGTCATTTAAATTCCTGCCCATCAACAATCAAGTGACCGTTGAAGCACTATATTTTATCTAATAATAAAACATTTAAACCAGTTTACTAATGGTAACTAATAACTTACTAACTAATAACTAATAGTACTAACTAATAGTAGTGGGTTGTTTTAAAGTGGGTAAGGGCAGTATGAGAAACCACAAAATCACATTGGTAAAAAGTCTGGAGTGAAAGACAGACTGACCTATAGGTCCCATCTGGTTGTTGAAGATGTTGGGTCCCTCCAGGATCTCATCATTTTTCCTGTTGCCCAGACCTGCTGGGTCCAGAGGTGGGTCTTCAACTCCACCTTTGGAAGGAGGTGGGGGGCCGAGAGGCATTGCACCTGGAGGAGGAAAACCTGGGAGAAGACAGGTGAGAGGAGTTAGCATGCTTTCAAACCAGTTTGATTCAGTTCAAGCAAACTTTGGTGACAGGTGAACACCGACAAACCACAGGACTTTTTGATAGTGGATATATAGTTTTAGCATTTATAAAAAGTAGTGCTGTCAAACGATTAAAGTTTAATCGCGATCAATCGCATTAATGTCATAGTTAACTCGCAATTAATCGCACATTTATATCTATTCTAAATGTCCCTTGATTTATTTTTGTCCCATTATTTTTTCTAATTTTAATGCTCTTTTCAACATGGAAAAGTGGATCGGCTTGCTTTGTGCAAATGTTGTTTTTATTGAAAAATCCTCCATTGTCGCCTGGCTTTGACGAGGGGGTGGAGAATTCGCATCAGCTGTGTGTTTGGCCATCAAGTGGTATTTCAGACTGGACGTGCTGCAATGATAGCTCAGTTCACAACGACAAAACACACAGCTCACTCTTGTCAATGGAACCATTTGGCAACTTTTTAAAAGTAAACTTTCCATTCAGAATATTATTGGCATCCATTTCGGCGTCTCGTGCTCGCCATCCACTCAAAACGTAATGTCTACTACTCTTAAACAAGTGTGTGCGGCGTGCCTGTTGTTTTGTTTCCGGTCTAGCTAGATCCGGTGTGGTGTTGTAGTTTTTCTAACATTACTAGTTGTTGCAACAGCATGTGAAAAAAAATATGAAGTTAAACAAACGTTAATCTCACGATAAAAAAATTGACGCCGTTAATAGCGCGTTTAACTGACAGCACTAATAAAAAGTTAAAGGACCAGTGTGTGGGAATTAGTGGCATCTAGTGGTGAAGTTTCAGATTGATAACTAAACACTACCAGTGTCTGTATTTGACAACCTGCGAAAGACAACGGGCTGTAGGAGAAACTACGGTGGCTGTGAAACACAGAAGGCCCAATCTACAGCCAGTGTTTGGTTTGTCTGTTCTGGGCTAATGTAGAAACATGGAATTCCACAGTGTGTGCAAATAAAAACAACTTGTTCTAAGGTAACAAAAACACAACAATTTCCTATATTCAGGTTACACACTAATGAGAACATACCTATGAATATTATATTAAATTTCTCCCAATAGATCCTCCTAAATGTTACACACTGGACCTTTAAAGTAAATCTTTCAAATCAATCTGCTGATAGTTAACTGTCAAGGAAGCAATCTTATAAGCAATCTGTATAGGTAAGCCTAATAGCGTGCCAGCACCTGAGCGAGGGGATTGAAAAGCAGTTAAAACAGCAGTGTGTTGTACTTGTGCTTTAGTTTGTGTATTTTTGCTGTTTATTGTTAAAAAGTCAGCAAAACAGGATTCCTCTATTTGGTCCCGTTTTAATCATCAATATCCTTGACGATTATTTCGTCATGAGATGTTTGTAATACCAGAGAACATAAATTAACACATGAGGAGCGTCAAAGGAATTTGAATGAAAAGCTGATGATGCAGGGTGACAGACACCTTCCAATGAATGACTTATCAGCCAGTCCATATAACTTCTTGGTTAGTTTGTAATAAGCCAGTATGAAGACAATTTTAATGGCAATGAATCATTTGGACCAAATGAACTTAAATTTGTGTGAAAATGAATTTGTGTGTACGTTACTGATATACATCATTCGAGACTGTGCCACAGAGGGAAACTGAATGAAAGCCAATGAGAAACGATGTCATGGCAGCTGAAGGAGGTGCTACCTGGAGGCATCTGCATGGGATTGAAGCCAGGTCTGATGAAAGGAGGAGGGGGGGACGCCTGGGGGAAGGAAGGCGGAGGCATGCCTATGGGACCAGGAAAGACAGGAGGCTGGAGAGAACCCACACCAACCATTGGCTGCTGCACTGGAGGAACCTGAGAACATTTACAGGGATTTAATGGACATCTCAAATGAGAAAAGTATTTGTTATACTGCCCAATCATACTCTTGAGAAACACAGGAGTTAAAGAACTTCATCAAAAATGATCTTGTCTAACCAGGTGACACACCAGCTTGCAGCACTATTAAATATTAACATAGCAATGATATTTCAACATACCTCTAATGCTAAGAGTTTTAAATACTGGCAACATCGTTCAGCTGTTGTTTACCTGTGCAAGAGGAGCAGCTGCAGCAGCCACAGGTAATACTTGTGTCTCCCCAAGCTGCTGTGGCTCCGAACGGCCGTTGTGCGTGAGCTCTTCCGAGAGGTCAAGAGTGTTTCTCACTCCACTCCACTCTGGAAAAGACGGATGCAATTCAAATTTGGTTGGTGAACAAACTATAATACACAATCAATCAATAACACAACTTGTCTGTCAGAGTTTTTACCAGGTGATAAGGTGTCTACATCCAGTATTCCTCCTTCTTTTAGCTCCTCCAACTGAACCTCTCTGATTTTAGACCAAGGTATGTAGGTGACACCAAGCTCCACATCCCAGTACTGTTTGAACTCAGCCTTTATGCCCTTGTTTAAAGCCCAAGCAATCTGGCAAGAAATGAAACTCTTGATTAAATTAGAAAATGCTTTTGTTTAGCAGTGCTTTACTAAGCAGCAATGTTGCTCACTCACCTTAATGGCTTTTTGGTTAACTTTGTGAGTTCCTCTACTAAGCTTCTGTAGCGCTCTGAAGGCATCTTGCCTATGTATCATTACAATGTAGGCACAGCCACGTGGAGGGATCATCTTAACGAGAGAGGAGGACAAAGACAGGTGAGGAAAAAGATTGTGATTTCCCATGATTGCACTATGATTCTTTTATGAACATGTACAACATTTGAAAAGGGTTTGGAAAATCAACGTTTTTTTTGTAGTTATTTCGACTGTATGTAATCAGTATTTTACTATCAAATATTAATAACAAAGCAGATTATATGAGCTGTTAATGTAATGACTTGAATGAAAAACACATAATATAGCATGACAAATGTACCATAGTGGCAGAAAGACACAAAAATCTCTGTTTTTCATTGTTACAAACACAGGATGTGGATCAATAGAACTGATCAATATAAGTCTACTTACATTGATGGACTCTATCTGGCCAAACTCCTCCAGTAAACAGGCGACGTCTTGCTGTTGTGTTCTCTTGTCCAACTGGCCCACCCAGAGAGTTGTACTGCAAACTGAAGGAGGAGAAAGAAGTGGAAACATGAACAAGAACAAAAATATGTAATAAATGGGATAAAAGGGAGGAGAAAAAAATGGTAATGTTGTCTCATCGTTTTATGAAATGACTAAAACAAAAACACTGCATATTCCTAGCACATCATTTCAGGGCCGTGTCTATCTACTTCAATAAATATGACCATAAATAGATTATGACTCACTGCTTAGTGTCTCGCTCTTGGGTGGAGGAAGACCTTTCTGCCGTCGCTCTCGTTCTTTCTCTCTCTCCCTGCGCTCCTGCGAGCGAGAGTGTGGGGAATGATGACGGCGGTCTCTAGAGCGCGAGCGGGATCGCCTGTGCCTGGAACGTCGTGTACGGGAATTAGACCGCGACCTCCTCCGCTTCGGAGACCTGGAGCAAAAACAAAAACAAAAAGACATTGTAACTCATGATATGTCCGTCATAAATAAGTACTGAGCAGTTTATCTAACGAATTACCGTGCTTGGATGGAAAGTCAGTTTGACACATTGCATTAACATCAGATGCTTACCTGGAGCCTGAGTTTGACCGCCGACCATGTCTGCCATCCCTCATAGATGAACGCTCCATGTCCATTGACAAATCCTGATATGGCATCAGATTCCAATTTTAATGCAAATATAAAAATTCACAGGAAATATACTTTACCAACGAAATGTACCCTAAAAATGGCTTGTTTTCACATATCCTTTGTACCATTGTTAAGTCTACCTGTTGTTGCTGGGTGGCATTGTGGGGAGGGTATACCCCCGGGAAGCCCGGAGGCCCAGTAGAACCAGGGAGAGGCTGCCCTGGTAAAGCATGGCCCACAGGAGGCATCATAACTGGGAAGCTTTGTCCTGGTGGTAAACCATAGGCCTGGAGCTGGCCATTAGGAGGGAGGGGAACCTGAGAAAGACCACTGGAATAAATATTGTGCACGTACAACAGGGTTCCCAAAAAGATTTGTCCCTACACACATTTTATCTTCATTTTGTATGTATTACTAAATTAAAAAAAGACCATATACTGTAGTGTAAATGGTATATGTATTATGTAACCCAATAAAGCTTTTTCACAAAAGACATTTTGGCATGTCATAGCAGGAAAAGCACAGGTATAATTAATAAAAACACACACAAGCCAAGCACAGCCAGTTCCAAGACCCTGTATTTTTCATGCTGGCTCACTCGCATGCTAACTGGCACAAATATGTTTCACCTGTGCTTTTCCTGCTACAACAAGTCAAAATGTCTGCTGTGAAAAAGGTCTACTGTTGTAACACAAGCTTAAATACAAGTTATAGTGACAGGAAACAATTGATAGCAATTTTTTAGTTTAAAAGTACAAAATAAAAACAGATAATCAGTGAATCCGATGGGCAGATGAGTTATTTTATAATTTAAAATGTTTGTACTTATTACCTGTTGTGAGAGGTCTTGCGACATGTTAATCATCTGCGGTTTAAAGTGCTCCATGTGCTGTAGGAAGGCTGGAGGCTGCTGCATACTGTGGTGATAAAAAAAATACCACATCAGCTTCACAGCTTTTAGTTCCTTTTAAAAAAATCAATCAGAGCTTCCCACTTCTTGGCATTGCAGAGCTGCTGTAGTATATGTAATAAATAAAAAGCTTACAAGGAGGGCTGTGATGAGATTTCATCCTTCTTCGTTTCTTCTCCAACTTCTGGTTCGTCATCATAGTCGAAACGGTCCAGCAATTTCTAAAAGAGAGGCAGGCAATGAATGTAAAAAGTACATAAATTACGTTTAACATGGAAGAACTTTTACTTTTCTTAAATTACTTGCTAAAATACTCCAAGCACTGTGCTACAAAGTGCCTAAACATTGCCTGGCCTCTGCCATGTTGTATAGAGTATGTTAAGCTGTTGATGGCATGTGAAAATACAAAAAGAAACGCACAGCCACCTTGTCAAAGGCTGTCTTCTGCTGTGTGGATTGGGTAGGCAAGGGAGGTTGTGGGGCGACCATGCCCAGGCCAGTGGTGACATTTTGGGCTTGTGTTTGCACGTTATGGACAGGAGGCTGAGTGTTGGTGTCGGGCTTCACTGGCTGCTGCTGAAAGTTCTGGAGCATCTGTTGAAGCTAAACATGGCAATGATAGAGAGTTAAAGAAGAGTTATTAGTGAGGATCTCAAGCAAAATGGCCATGGTCAAAGCTAATGTTGGAATGCACTAGTGCACACACACCTGCTGACCCTGTGAGGACTGGAAGAGCTGTGCCACAGCTGCAAAGGCATCAGAGTTTTGCAGCTGAGCAGCAGGTGTCGTGGTGGAGTTTGCCGTTACCGCAGTAACAGGCTCTTTGGCTGGAGGTGGGGAAGAACCTGCGAGAAGAGACACAGCATGAACATGTGTGTGAGCAGCACACAAATGCCTTCAAACGCCAGCATTGTTCACCGACACGTCACCATATCAATATTAAATTATTATATGCTATTACTATATGAATCTATAAAGTGCATTTGCAAATGTATTCTCTAAGAAAATTATTATTATTATAATTTAAATTTATAATATAATTATTAAAACAATAATTCACATTAGTTAGGATCTTGGGCTGCCTCATGTGTACAGACATATTACCTGGCTCATCTGTGCCTGTGTACGGTGCAGCCGCACTGCTAGAGCCAGCTGCCATATCCAGGAGGGGCTGAATAACCTCTATCTTGAACACCCCATTCTTCTGCCACAGGTTCAACACCCGCACGATCTTACTCTACAAAGGAAGATAAGAAAGCAAGGAAACAAGTGAAGGAGAAGGAATAACAGGAGGCTGGCAAAACCCCAATGTGGTACTACACTACAATGCACAATATTTATCAAGTGAAATTTCTGTTCTTACCCTGTCCTCTACTGGGCAAAGGCAGAGGTTCTCAAAAGTTCCTGTAATGTTTTTGGTGAACCTTGGGCCAAACACATCCTTGTCTGCTCCAAACTGGTGTCTGGACTGCCTAACAATGGAATCCACCACATATAGGCCTGCTACCTTGTACTCAGGCTTACACTGGAGAGGGCAGAAGTAGAAACAGATTTTAGTTTATTTGTGTTTGGTGAGAGAAACCAGGTGATGACTGAATGTAGGGGTGTCTGACCTTTTTGATAAACTTTTCCACAATCTGGACCACATGTTTGTAGAGCTGAGAAAGAGAGAAGCAAGTAAGCATGTCATTGTCTAGATACAGGCAAAAAAATTCAATCATTTTAGAAAGATGGAAAATATCAGTCAAATACATAAACAAGTAACTCTCAAAACAAACAAATACCAAACTCATTCTTACTTTCATAGCTTTGATGGCCGATTTGGTGATCGATATCATCTTTGCCCGAGATATTGGAGGCTTGGAGTCCATCAGCGAGAATAACTACAGACAAAGTAGATAAAAGATGAGCGACATGTGGAGAGTCAGGAAATAGGAGGAAGATAACAAATAAAAAAAACAGATGACATTGCTTGAGGAGCTTCAGAGGTGATGTCAATCATTTCCATTTGGTTGCTTTCTATTTCCAAACCCTCATGTCTTCCCACATCAGAGAGACACATTTATAGGAAAAGCTCTGCACAACTACAGATTTTAGTCGAAACAAGTAACCGAACTAAACATGAAATCAAAATCTTTAATCAGGGAATATTCCAATCTTAACAGGATTATCATTGATGTTAACATTTGTTAACTGGATTAATGATCTTTCATATTGATCATCTGAAAAGTGACACTGATTGGTGGACTTGGGAACTTTTTCACCACCTCTGTATGCTGCATGATTGTTGTATTGTTCATTATTCTCTGATGGAGGTATGGCAATGAAAGTTTTAGTATTGTGCTGCAAGCCAGTGAATGCACCACTTTCATTTCCCATCAAGGCTACAAAGCTTTGATACACGCAGACACACCAAACTGGCATCTGAGTTTGTAAAACAGAATATAACAAACTCAACCTCTGCTCTGGGGAGGACGGGACAATGATACATATTGACTGTTTTGACGTGTGGATCCAAGAGGTCAACATACGGCAGCATGAAGATACGGTCTTGCCACAGTATGGTGCAAAGAAACTAGAGATGAACTACCCCCATGTTGTTGGCTGTCTGCTTTTGAGGAAGGTAAAACATCTTAACAACTGAGGTGCACTGAACTACTGCTTTTCTTATTCTGAGCTAAACAAAATGATAGTGTCTGAGAGAAACTCATTTAGACATCGCAGTCTCATCATAGTTGCTCTTTCTATAGGTGTCTATTGACAGTATGCTAAGGTATACACTGACATATTTGCCTTATCTAACAGGGATCTGCATTTGCAACAACTACAGCCTCTGTTTCTGTGCCAGACTTACTGTTTTTTTTTCATAAGAAACTCCTCATATTCCTGTGTTATGATGATTTGGTTTGCCACTCAGTTATAGCGGTCCCAGTCACTGTAACTGTTACATTCAAGGGTTAAATCAGCAGAAACGAGAAGAAAAAAAAAAAGAAGACACCAATAGATAACATGACCTCTCTTTTAACTGGACTTATAACAGTATCAACCATCACTGCTCAGGCCTTACAGAGACTCTGCCTGCAATCAATCTAAACAAACCCTGGGATTTGCATATAATTGAAGCAGTTACGAACATTTTGTTAGTAAGCTTGCAGTGTGACAATAACAATAGCACAGTGTGTTTGCTCGCTGTGTGGTTGCCTGTAGCATTGTTACCAACACCAGTGCAAGTGACCATGCTCCCACAAGCTAACACTAATGTTACTCTGCGAACTTTGTGCAAGGTTACTGGAACCAGTGTGCACTGGCTATCGCGGTTAGCTTGCGAGTTAGCAAGATATCCTCTCATTGGTTTCAGTAACAGCATTACTGAAGTGCTTTAGCAGCTGTAAGCTACAACACAAGCGCTAACTCGGTTAGCCTTGAGCCAGGTTAAGGTGGACAAGTCCAGCTAGCAAGGCCCGCTGGTCGGTCCTGCTCGACTAGCTTCAGTGCATCACAGTACCATGAACCAGCACCGCCAGACTCGGTGACTTCAGGGTCTCAGCGAGCCCTGACGGCAGCCTACCTCGTGGTTAAAGGCGTTGACGGCATCCATGATTGCCCAGCGCTTCGAGCCTTCCCTTTAACTCCCGGTTCCCCGCTTACAGCGATGTTTATTCAAGGAAGGGTCGGTACAACATGTCCGCTCCCGGGAGCTAACGACAGTTAGCCTAGCATCGGTAGCTCTCGGGTCGGCGGGCACGGCAAAGCATGATGGGATTCAATTTCGTTGTTCTATGTTTTGTCCACTGGGTGGCAGAGTGCTGTAGGGAGTGGACATGAGGAGGACAGGGTATGTGGGATATGGGTGTCCACAGTGTCCCTTTAGGGCCTTGGACCTCATTCTTTGTGCATTGTGTGCCTACTCCAGTCGTCTTTAAGTGTCTCTCAGATACAGACACAGCAGACTACACATGCAGTCTTATATTCTGTCTACTCCCTCATACCAACCAGTATTACTGTGCTGGAGAACTGCATGACCCCAGATTAAGCCATGAAACCAAGCTGAAGACTGACATTCGTATTACTCTTCATCGTCATCATCACCTGATATTTCTGGGAGACTGAGCAAAATACAACCTTATCTACCTTTAAAGTATTCTACGCCACGAAGTTAGTTGGATTAGTGAATTAGTTATTAGTGAAATAATCTGTTTTATAGTAGTTTGTATAATGCTTCTCAATCATCATCTCCAAATCATTAAATAACTTCCTGACAGGACCCCTCTGTTATCTTTATTTTACATGCTACTGTTAAATTCCAAAGACTAATCCACAGACTACTGCATAAGTCATAATTTTACTAAAGAAACTAATTCTTTATTTGTTTTTTATTTGGATAAGCCTCCACTAGTCGTATTTTGTTTTTCTTTACTACTGGCTGCAGGTACAAAGAATGCATTTCACTGTGTATTGTACTATGTATAACTGTGCATGTGACAAATAAAACCACTTATCTATCTTATATCTATCTTATCTACAAAGTAGTCACTATCCCTGGTGTCCGCACAAAAACCATAACTATAAACACAAACAACAATTTTAAATCACACTGTATCAGCTAAACAAAAAATGGCAAAACAAGCCAAAGGGAAATGGTGTATGAAACAATAAACAATAGTAATCTATGATGGAAACAGAAAAACTAAATTGTCACAAATAGGCTACACAGCAATAAAACATTTTTAAAAAATCAACAAGAGCAATAACTACAATAACATGTGAGAGTTATATTTTTGGTTTTAATTACTTTTTGAAATAATATCTATTTTTAGTCTGTCTGCTCTGTAGGGGAGGATGCAGGCTCAGTCAGTTGTAGACCTGACTGTATATGTTCTTGTAGTACAAAATAACTCCAATAGATGGTGGTACACTTATACTTTTGGTTCCATGTCTGGGTGTCTGGTCTGGTGTCTAGAAAGCATGGCCCAGCAGGCAAGTCAAACTGTATGTATTCTTTTCACTCCTTCTAGGAATCCAGGAGTGAACAATACAGAGCACACCTGTATATATAACTAAATCTGATACAGTAACGCCACAAACTGCAGCCCCATGAAACACCACAGAGCTGAATGAACACCTGTCTGACACAGACTAAAAAAACCCCAATATGTTTCATATTGGTAGTATTAATTGCAGTGCTATTCTATTGGATTTCAATATATTATCAGGTGTATCTGTTATTTTGTCAACCCTCTGCAGGCTCAGTGTATAGGAAAACATATAACATAATCATATTAGGTCGGATTAACCTGACCTGAAGCCAAATACAGGAAGGAAAATATGCCTCAAACTGTTGCCCCTCCCTGCAAGGTGTCCTCCTTTGAGTGATGAACACCGTGTTAATTAGGCCAGTGAACACCTCAGTGGGCGAGGGGGGGTAAATGCTTCTTTGTCTGCCAATGGTATACTGGAGCACAACTTTCTATTGCTGGCAGAACTCCAAGTTCAGCAACAACCAATAACAAGAAAAAAAATGGCAGTGGCTAGATGACAGTGCCTCTTATATGAAAATTGAGCATTTCTCACAGACGAAATGTATTTAATATTATTTATTACCACTAAAAATGCACACCTCTAACCCTGTGTGTGGGTGCAGAGCGCATGGTGAGACAATTTGCGTCCTTTACGCACAGTTCTACCCAAATGACAACATTACGACGCCCAAAAATCACGTTACAGGAATTTAGAAAAAAAAAAAAAAAGCTATATATATGTGTAGTGACTGTGTTAATGTCTCGCCCTTCAGGTAATATATTCTTTGTTCTTTGCCGTGTAGCCTACAGTCTGAGCGCACCATACGAAACGGGGCAGCCGCGGTACCAGGTGGAGTGGAGTCGTCCCCCTTGTTCTCACATGTGCTCCGCCCGCCTGCGCTGATTGGATTGGAAATCACCCCGGCTACCACCACAGTGTGAGGGGCTGTGGGGTTTTTTTTCACTCTAACACTAAAGAAACGCCCACCCAGAGGAGCCGGCAAAGTCAGTTCAAACTGAAAAACACGCTGCCTGCACGCATTCAGGACAGGAGACGTTCATGTATGGAGAAGGGACGCTGAGTAATAGCCTACCTCAGACAGAGCCACCGACTCTTTTCTTTTTTAAAACCCTCACAAGTATTAACACAGGTTGCGTCAGTTAATAACTTTCCACTGATTGAGTGTGGCATTTACGCTTATCAAGTATCGGAACCTGCTGAGTGCGCTCGCTGGATGCTTTGGCCGAACAGGTGGCGCGCAAGCTCCGGTTGCCTTAATTTGTCATTAGGGGCGAGACGCACGCAAACGGGAGTGAACGCACTTCACCGGACGTTAAGCATTTAATACCTGGCCTTAAGCTGGGCGAGGGGACGCGCTGCGTAGTTGTCTCCCTCGTTAAAAGGAGACATTTGACAAGGGAGCGGTGATGCCAGTTGCCGACAGCGACATGGTAGTGGACAACAGCCACGGGTTGTACGAGGGTAAAACCCCAAACAGTGCCGGGAACGAGAGCATCCTCCCGGCCTCCCTATGCAGTCCTGCAGCGGACATCCTCAAGAACTTTTACCACACCAAACGGGTCGGGAACTATCTGATCGGGAGGAAGCTGGGAGAAGGGTCGTTCGCCAAAGTTAGAGAAGGTCTCCACGCGTTGACTGGGGAAAAGGTAAGCGGACTCGCAACGTGGAGTTTAACCAAATGAGTTTGGTAAAATTGTGTGTAATATACTTATTTCTTGGCATAATTTAACTGCATCCTGTGATTAGAACGGATTGTGTTGGTTTTAGTCCTGGTGATTGCTTGCACTTATTAATTATTTTTTAATGAAAAAATAACTTTTAAGGGGAAAAAAACTGCACTTTTTCTTTTTTCCCCCCTTTTTTGAAAACTAGCTGAGTTTCCTCTGACTGCGGTAGTTTTCGGTAATGTTTCAACATCTAAAAATCATGAGAGGCATGCAGCAAGGCGTCTGATGTGGTTTTACATTTCTTTTCAGCGGAATGTGGCAGCTGTCATTTGCCTGCATGTGAACCAAGCAAAACTATTCGCCTATTTATATTTACAGTTCAGCCGTACATTTTGATTTTAGTCTTCAGCCTACTTATAGAAAGTGATCTGCCCTGTTTGCTTTTTTGAAGAGCTGCTGCTGCGGCACCACCAGCTGTTGAACCCCGCTACACGCTCAGCAGGACTTGTTTTCTAGCCGAGCTCTAGTGACAATATTTACTTTTTGTGTGTGTGTGAGAGAGAGAGAGAGAGAGAGAAAGAAAGAGAGAGAGACGGAAGGAGCTGCCTGTATTATTTTTTCTCCCATCACATGTGTTGGAGGACTAGTTGTGCGCACTGTGGCAACCTCTTGCTTTGTTTGCTTGGTGGTGGTGATCTCACCGCAGTTGGGCGCGCAAGCCCGTGATAGGGACATAGGGGGAAATTGTCCGGCCTATGAGAGGGCAGAGCTGCTACTTGCATATGAAATCCTGTCGTTGATAAATGGGCTCCAGCCTCATTATGATTCTGCCAGCGCAGGGCTTTGATATGGGCTGCCATTGGCCACTGGTTGCCTTTGTCTCTCCGTGCTTTTTTTTTTTTTTTTTTTTTTTTTGAGGAACAGCCAGGACATTTGCATAGGCTATTGGGAAAACAAGTACCTCCCTTGTTTTCCTTATGTATTCCTACATGTAGACCCATATCTGGTTGTATATGTGTGAAAACACAATATGTGCCACTGGATTTAATGATTAGCATATTAAAGAATATTAAAGACTATCTCCTCCTGTGCACCCCCCCATTCAGTTGCTGCGAGGAGAAAAGAAAGCCCTCCTCTCCTCTTCCCTCTCTTTGTTGAGGATGATGCAAACACTGGCAATCACACAGCCAAGCATATCACATGCTCTCCCTCTCCTCTCTCTCTCTCTCTCTCATTCAGTGCAATACAGGGGTCCAACAGGCGCTGGAGGGGAGGGGAGGGGAGAGCAGTGAGTTTATTCAAGCAAAAGGGTAGTCAGGAAAGGAAATATAGGATTCCCAGATCCTTTTTTTTTTTAAGCATCCCTAGAAAGTCAGTGTGGACACAGGGGTGAGAGGGTGTGTGTTATAAAGGCAGGGGTTATGAAAGTGAGGAGAGGTGAGGGATGGTGCTGTCATGGTCAGGGGGCTGGGGAGGTCATATGCATGTGTTTTTGATGTCTGTAACCCACTTTCCCCTCCATGCTCCCCCGGTCCCCCCCCTTTTCTGTCTGAGGGGTGCCTGATAAACAACTGAATCCCCCAGAAGCCCCCTGGCTGGGCACACCCCTCCCCTCTATATACCAACCCACCCCCTCTTCCCTTTACTCATATAGACCAGCCTACTGTAAATACAGTGCCCCATCCCCCCATACATAGCCCACACCCCTTCTCTTATTCACCCTGCCTGGCGTAAACATGGGCCATCTATTACTGTATTGTGACAGCTAAGCACATGCAGCCAGGTTTAATTAGCAGCCATAAAAAAGGTTTTCAGAGGTGAATCAATTATCAGAGATGAAAGGATGAAAGTAAAAGAGAAAGACAAGCTGAAGGGCAGAAGAAAGAGATGGCACACACGCACACGACCACTTTGGCCCTCGCCATTTCATTAATGGATATGGTGATTAGTTTCATTGGTCGTGCCTTTCCATGTCTGTGGGCTCCCCTTGAGATGATTTGCTGTGTATGGTAGCCATGCTCTTGAACTCAGTCTAGACGGG